GGAATATAGATTATGAAATTAATATGTTCAGATGCGACATTTCTGTGGGTACTTAAGTATAGGACGAATATATTATTATATTTATTTATTTTATTCTTTATTGTATCCTTAAACAAAACAATATTAATCACACTTTTTTTTTGTAGAAACATATATAGGTTATTATAATTAGGCAAAATTTTTCATGTTGAAATCTGTTTATTATTCTTTTATTATATTTTTAGGTTTTCCACGTCAAAGTCAAAGTGGAATAAATTCGTCCATTTTTAACTCTCGCGTGCCCTGCATTTATGAACGACTCTTATTCTACTTTAAATAAATGTATTTGTAATTAAAATCTTATCTTAGTAAGTTTTGTTAAACATAAATTTAGTATGTTTTTTATATTTGACATAGATACCTTTTAAAATATTCACATAAAAATATCATTAAAATGTAATTGTGATATAATATTATGTAATATTATATTAAATAAGCAAATATACAAAATAAATGACAAAATTTAAATATTGTTCTCGATATAATTTACCTATTTAACAATATAATCTTCTATTACCTACGGATCATTCTACCTATGCTTATTCCATGATAAAAAAACAACCGGGCGAACACAGAGTAGCGCACATTTTTTGTTTGAGATAGATGTTCTAGTACGTAAGTACATATTGCTTCAATTTTTTTCCCTACTGTTTTTCATCAATCGATCTGCCCCGGCTTCCAACAGTGCCACCTACTGGGTACAATTGTAAATCTAAACTATCCAGGGACCCACTCAAATGCACACAAAAATTTCATCAAAACCTTTCGAGTCATTTTAGATTATATATAGAGACTCGTGTACAGTTTCAGTGCACAAATAAGTGAGTATGGGAACCAAATCACATTTTTCTATAGAATGGGAGTGACATACAAGCCCACAGAGTGGATGCTGTGATCTATAGCCATCTAGATCCATCCTCGATTAGGAATCTAAATGCAGATGCGTTGTTATCCCTGAGAACTAAGATAGGACGCCTCGTTTCCAGTAAAAAAGAGCTTCGGTTCTTTACACTCACCATAAGAAACACAGCAGCATTAAGCTGTTATTTTACGGTATTCTGTTAGAGCGGGATCTTTCCTCGGTTGAGCCGACCTTTACGTACTCCAACCATACCTCATTTAGAACATTCACATCTCTTTAGGAAATTGTCACAAAACTGAAACAACTCTATTTCGTAATGAATCCTGGAAGTAAATTAACAGTGTAAGCGTTAAATCATCAGCCTGCTAATTAAAAATAAAAATTATAAAAAATAAATAAAACAAACATATTATTTATTTATACCTTTTAAGAAAACTATTACAAAAAGTATTCCTATCAACGAAATACTTCGGCGAAAATGACATGTCCCTTATTAAGTAACATTTAACGACAAAAAAATAATAAATTTAGAATCAAACAGAGCCGGCACGAACTGTACGGACAACTAAACTTTAGTCTAACTTTGTGAACTAGCTTTTAAGAAGTAGTCCTTACATGTACCGAGAACTAAAATTTTAATGTTATGTTAGAACTTGTACTGAACACTTTATGGACATGTCGGAAGCAGAAGTTGAGTAAAACTTATTTATTTTATCTTTATTATAAGATTGCTGCACTAACAGGAAGAAATGGTGTAGTGGATATTTCTTCATCATCATCATCATCGTTATCATCATCATTACAGCCCTTCACAAGTCTACTACAAAACATAGACTTTCCCTAGTCCATCCTTTCCATAGCTAGCTGAGAAACCTTGAGCATCCTCATACGGCCAGCAGATATTCTTACACTAATCGATAGTAATTAGTATCTAGTATGCAAGTATTTATATGTATTTGTATATCCACCTGTAACTTTTTATACGTGGTAGAACCATGCTGCAGTTATATTATTAGTATAGTTGTAGCGAATGAGTCGGCTCGACCGGGGAAGAACCACTCTCTCACAGAACACCAACGTAAAATAGTAGCTAATGCTCCTGTGTTTCGTATGGTGAGTGTAGAGAACCGAAGGCCCCTTTTAGTGGAAACAAGGCATTCAATCTTAATCCTCACAGGTGACAACGCATCTGCATTTTGATTTGTGATTGAGGATAGATATAGATGTCTATGGGCCGCAGCTACCACTTACCATCAGGTTAACTGTGTGCTAGTTTGTCACCATGTCCTATAAAAAAACTTTTTAATCCGTGGTAGGACTCCTTTTTCTGCCTAGGACTTCTTCTAGGTGTGATACCTATCCATAAAGACTCCTACTTCTTACCTATTCTTGCTTCCAAATATCAATACTTGCACTGCTGTATTCTGGTTTGAAGGGTATAGAGAACCAATATACTCATAATTGCAGGCGGCACTCTATCTTAATCCTCAGAGATGACGACGCATCTGAAGCTTTCTTTGTTTGAATTTGACTGCAGTTATCAATAGACTGTAGTTTGATTGTCACTTCAGTTTAAAAAAAAAAGTTGGCAGAAATTTTTAAATAAGCTGTACGAAATTAAATTGTCGTGAAATGGCAGTGTAAGAAAGTCCACTGCCATATATAATTCAAACCGAAATAAAAAATTCTAACCAAATCGCTGATGTTTAGGACGCGTGGAAGTTCCAATAGCATTTTGCAAACTCTAGCAGATAGGTACACGTCTCCGCTTTGGGCCTGCTTTGTGAGTGTTATTTTAAAACACTGTTATTCAAATTAAAATTGACTTCATTTGATTTTATTATGATTGTATTTATTTTTATTTAGTTGACATTATTTGATTTCGATTGATTTTTATGTGATTTTTTTGTTTGATTGTATTTAATTTAATTTTATAGGTATTAGATAATTATTTTTAGTTTGATTTTATTGTGATTTCATTTTGAGTTTGAATTTTATTTTAGTTTTGACTTAATTTGATTTTATTTAATGTTCTTAATTACTAATCTAATCTAAGTCATACTAACAACTTATGGATCTTTTACATCTGAAATAAAGAATTATTATTATTGGGTTATTAATAGAGTAATCACATCTGGGTGGGCTGGATAAATACATGAAGGGAAAAATAAATATACTTAAATATATATTTAATATACTAACATAAATAAATAAATAAATAAAAGCCCAACCAGATGGAAGCCCTCGGCAGGGGAGACCAAACGGCCGAGGGTTAGGGGGAAAGGGAAAGAAACCGGCGGACGATGCGGGCGGTATCGAGGAGCACCGCCTTCTGCATTTGAGCCCGGAGCGGTCCGTCACGGAGTCCCAGTCGCCTCAGATGACCCGAGAGGCTGGCTGGGATTAACCCGTTTGCAGACACGACTACAGGAATAATTTCGGTCGGCAGACCACCCCGCATGTCGGTCACCTCGTGAGCCAGGTCCAGATATTTTGATTGCTTGTCTGTTTCGGCTTTCACGAGGTTCTCGTCATACGGAATGGTAATGTCGACCAAAAATATCCTTGACTGTGCCCGATCCATCAGCACAATATCAGGCTTATTCGCAAGAATAGTCCTGTCCGTGATGATGGCCCGGTCCCAGTAGAGCCTGGGGCGGTCATTTTCGAGCACGGCTTCCGGCAGGTACTTATGTATATAATAATATAATAATATGGCACTTTCCGGTCCACGAGATCGTATTTCAGAGCGAGCTCCTGGTGTAGAATTCTGGCTACTAGGTTGTGCCTGTGCAAGTACTCAGAGTTAGAAAGCGCCAAACAACCGGAGATGACATGCCTAAGTGACTCACCGGGATGGCGACAAGCTCGACAAATGTCGACGGTGCCATCCTTTAGGATGTATCTCCGATAGTTGTTGGTCTTAATAACCTGAGCCTGTATTGCACAGACAAAACCCTCGGTTTCCTCGAAGAGGTCACCGAAACGTAGCCAGTTGAAGGAGGTGACTGTATCTACGAAGGGCTCATGTAGAGCCCTGTAGTACCTCCCGTGGAGCTCCTTCTCCTTCTATACGGTCTCCCGGTCGGAAACGCTAAGCACTGCTGGGTCCTACCATTGCTCGTTGGCTAAGGATAGAGGGGTAAGCCCTTTATCACTAGAAATGACGTCATTATAGAATGGCTCATCCGATCTCGCCAGGAAGTAATCACGGAGGCTGCACACTTCGCGATTATGCATGGTGAGCGAGCTCAGAAAACCACGCCCACCATGCTTTCGCGGCAAGTACAGTCTCATTACCGACTATCTCGGATGATGCATCCTATGGGACGTCATGGTAGTGCGGACTTTTCTATCCAGGGCATTAAGTTCAGTCTGGGTCCACCTGAGTAGGCCAAAGGTATACATGAGGACAGGCATGATCCAGCCGTTATATGCGTGTGTCTTATTCACACCGGACAAAAGGCTATTAAGCACTTTGGTCAAGCGTGCATAAAACACGTCGCAAACTGACTGTTTCATACCAGCCTCATCGATAACGATGTTCTGTGACATACCCAGGTATCGGTATGTTATTATTATTATTTCGTTCCGTGGGTGTTCGAAGGATATAGGGTACATCATGATTGTTCCTGATATCACATGAAGCTGTTCTTCCCTTCTTCCGTACACGTATCGCCGAGCAGCGAACCTTAGATAAGTTCTGAGAGCGTTTCTCAGCCCCATACCATCGTGGTTACAGCATAACTCCACTTAGCCACTTGCTTCGCTTTAACCGGTCGGAAACGCACACATATTATCTCAAAATAATTGATGAATATCTAAAAAGTGATTCAGTTTTATTTATTCAAGAATTTCTGATATGTTTGTGAATGCAATGAAACGACCGCTGTCTTGTAACACTCGTTTATTACTGGTTGGATGACCGTACTCCACACGTATATGTCATTCCTCCCCACTTAATTTTGGAACCTGGTAACAAGGTTTCTTAATTAAATACAGTAAAAATTTTTGTCTACATAAACTTAACAACTAATAATAACTATTAACAATAATTAGCGAACTTGATCTCTGCGTAACTATAATTAACAATCGCTACTTAAAAATACTTTTTATAATCCACCCTTGGTCTTGTACGTTTCGGGCGTGTGGCTAAAAGTGGCAATGTTGGCGGTACATGGGAATCGCCAATTGTGGACGGCACAGCCTCCGTTTCTGCCATAGGCCTTTCTACGGGGGCAATGTTGTCCTTTTCATACTCCCTAGTCTCACAGTCACTTACTTCTTCTGCCTCACCGTGGTCAGATGAACCAAGATTCGGCGCTCCAGTATTCGAGGGCGATTGCAGCTCAGCCGTCTGCATATTCGTAGCCTGTTCCATACTTTGCTCCGTATTACTTATAGCCGGAAACATAGGCTGTTGCGCGGGAGGGTGTGCATTTACAGTAGCCGGCGATGTGGAGGGGCAACGAGTCTCCTCAGCAGCGACAATATCGTCGCGACTACTGTCTGAACCCGTATATCTAATAATTTGATCCACATGTCTAATACACCAAACCTCCATGTCCCTAATATGAATTTTATACATTTTATTTCCTATTTTTTCCTTTATTCTACCTAACTGCCAAGATTCTTTTCGTGCACTGTACCATCGGGTCCAAACGATATCGCCGATTTCAAAAGATCTTTTCCCGGCTGCCGTAAGTGAATTAGAATTATGATTTTTTAAGGGTAAAATCAAATCGAGACGCGACCGCAAATTTCTGCCGAACATTAACTTTGCCGGCGTTTCACCCGTGGTACAATGCACGGTATTTCTATAGTTAAATAGGTACCCTAATAACATGTCGTGAACTTTGTGCAAAGGTAAATTGTCAATTAATAAACATTTTAACATTTTTTTACATGTTCTTACTGAATTCTCAGCTTGACCGTTACTTGGCGGATGGTAAATGGGTGACGTCATGTATTTTATGCCATTCGATGAACAAAATGTCTGAAACTCGAGTGAATTAATTTTTACATCGTTGTCGGACACTAAAACATTTGGTATTCCAAAATTAGAGAAAACGCCTTTTAATTTTGTTATTAAAGCATTAGATGAGGTTCCGTTATGCATGTATAGACATTCTATCCATTTACTGTAGGAGTCGACGATCACCAGATATACCCTCTGCCCCACAGTCATGTAATCAATGTGCACTCGTTGCCATGGCGCGGTGGAGGGAGGCCAGGGCGCGAGGGGGTCGCGCGGCGGGGCGGCCCGCACGCTTGCGCACGTCGCACATGATCCGATCCAGCGTTCGATGTCCCGGTCAATACCGGGCCACCACATTCTACTTCTAGCGTTACATTTAGTTTTGGTTATTCCTAAATGAGAATCATGAAGCTCGCGTAACATTCTATCTCTCAACCCGAGTGGTATAACAATCCTATGTCCCCTAAAAAAGACAACCATTCTCATATTGTAAATCGGACTTGCAATGAAAATAAGGTAAAATAGATTTACATTTTAATTTACGCGGCCACCCGTGTTGCATGTACCTAAGCACGGTTTTAATCGTCCTATCTCGCTCCGTCGTCTGCGCAACGTCGCGGGCCGAAATGGCCGGCGATGACGCATCGAGAAACCTAACTGCATAATGCGTGTCTATATCGTTTGTATCTATATCGTTCAACGACTCGTTGACGCATTTTACAGGAGCGCGTGAGAAGTAATCGGCCACAATATTATTTCCGCTAGATACATATTGTACGACATAGTTATAAGCGGACAATATAACTGAGTATCGCTGCAGTCTTAGCGCAGTAGTAACAGGAATACCTGTTTTAGGATTAAAAATTGATACCAATGGTCTGTGGTCGGTTTTCAGGATAAAAGGATCTTCGCGACCGTACAAATATTGATGAAAGCGTCGGACCCCGAAGATAATGGCCGTCGCTTCCTTCTGTATCTGGCTATAGTTTCTTTCACTGCTCGTAAGTGAGCGAGATGCATACGCTAGCGGGCGTTCGATGCCGTCCTCCGCCCTTTGTGAGAGTACGGCGCCGAGACCGGTCGGGCCGGCGTCCACCGCCAGCACTAGCTGCGCCGCTGGCTCGAAATGAGCCAACACGCGTTCTGACGCCAGTCCGCGCCGTATCGCTGCGACGCTTTGTCGCTGCCGTTTTCCCCATTCCCATTTTGCATCTTTACGTAATAGCTCATGTAGAGGACTCAGTACAGAAGAGGCGTTTGGAATAAAATTTCTATAGTAGTTGACTACTCCTAGAAATCTTTTAACTTCGGTGACGTTATTTGGTTCCGGTGCACTAAGAATGGCTTGTACTTTATCCGGACAAGTCCTTAATCCCGTTTTACTAATCACGTAACCCAAATACCTGACGCTTTCTCTGAAAAATTGACTTTTGTCTTTTTTGTAAACGTAGGCCTGCCTTACATAGTCTATCTAGGACTTTACTTAGCCGCTGCATGTGGGAATTTCTATCGGGGCCCGTGACACAAATGTCATCAAGCCATATGCTTACCCCGTCTATTCCTGATAAGAGTGTCTCCATGCTCCTTTGAAAAATGGCTGGACCACTAGAAAGGCCGTACACTAACCTAGTGTATTTAAAAAGTCCTTTATGCGTATTAATTGCCGTGAGCTCCTGAGACGCGTCATCTAGGACGAACTGGTTGTAAGCGTTTTTTAAATCAATTTTACTATAGTGCTCACCCCCTCCAATTTTGGCAAAAACCTCTTCAATTCGAGGCAGGGGATATTTTTCTATTATGAGATCCTTATTTAATGTAATAGAAAAATCACCTGCGATTTTAACTTGGCCATTATCTTTTAAAACTGGCACAATGGGGGTGGCGTATTGAGAATAATTAATAGGAACAAGGATACCCAAGTGCATTAATCGGTTTAGCTCTTGTTCGACTTTATCTCTGAGGGCAAAGGGTACAGTACGCGGTTTAAAAAACTTAGGCACAGCATTCGCCTTCAACTGCAAACTGACTTTAAAGTTATTAAATGCGCCCAACTCGTCACGCCACAACGCCGAATATTTATTTAATAACTCATGCAATTCGGAATCATTTCTTATGTAATTTAATTTAGTAGTAATCACAAAATTAAAGGCGCTCATGAAATCCCTACCTAGTATAGGCGGTCCCCCATTTTTGACAACAAAATATTTAATCAATTTTGTACTGTTATTGTAACTAGTTTCTACAGTAATATAACCTAATGGATCAATCTTGTGTCCGTTATATAAGCACATTTTTACAGAACTACTATGTAATGAATATTTTAAGAATTTTTCCTTATATGTATTATAAGAAATCACACTTTTACTTGATCCTGAATCAAGCTCCATTGTCATACACTGATTACCTATTATTACATCAATTGAAATGGGCGTATCAGTCACATAACTCAAATTAAAATTGTGGCACTCCTCACAAGACGTGTCCTTGACCTGCTCTGGTTCGCTTACCGACTCGATATGGTACATCCGCGATCTATTGATACTATCGCACACTTTCTTTAAATGACCTTTTTCACCGCACTTTTGACATTTGTAACTTTTATAACGGCACTTATCACTTTGGTGGTTCTTCAAGCCGCAGACCGAACAACGAGAAAAATCTCTCGGTTGGTCGCGACCTCCTGATGTCCTGCCAGCATTAGGACGCCGTATAACCGCGCCGCTGTCTCCTTGACCTTGAAATTTCGCTCGGTATACCGGTTCCTCCTTAAGGCTTCCGTCTAGCTGTGCTGTTTTACATTTCCAGCCATTAGAGGGGGCGCTCTCCCCCGTGCATAAATACGTTCGAGATCGCACGTGAAGTTGCTCTATTTCATTAAATATATAACTTATTAATATTTTTCCAAAATATTCCTTTTACTTTTGTTGTGGTAGTATAATTTTTTACCCTTTTATATTTTATAAATGTCGTTTTAGTCGTATTTATACGGGTTGTAAGTTTAAAAAGGGTAAATACAACCGAAGGAAAAAAAATACTGCTTTTTGTTTTTATTCATACAAATTACGACTCTACCTTGTACATTTTGTATTATGAATAAGTAAATTTTTTAATTTAATTTTTTTTTGTATGCAATGTGGTTCAGCTCTATGATTCCAACTCCTCCCGTCTAATCGGATGTATATGATTTTTTTATACAAACTGAACATACAAATAGCGCTTATACCTGTTTTATTTTAAAGAAAAATCGTATAGCGAAGTAATTTAGAAGGCAATCGATAAAAAAATTCAAATAAAAAGAATAACTGAATACACAAATATTTATTTTTTTAGTTGGTGACAAGATTAAAAATAAGAAAGTTTTTTCGAGTGTTTTGTGTATGGTGTAGGGGTTAACTTTTTGGGGATATTTTATGCTTTTTATTTTCTATTGCTTCTGTTATAAATGGTGGGTCTTTTATCGGCATAGAACGTTCAAGGCGCGAATCAATTAGTTCTGGTAGCAGACAACTGTGGTAAAACTTTGTCAAAGGGGGGCAGCATTTTTGTTTCCCAAAACTCTTTATCCCTTGCTATATATTCTACTTTCATCGGTTGATGTTCACTAGTCCAAACTGCAAACACGCAAATATTTTGTTCCGTTATATTAAGTTGACCTTGAATTTGGTAGTAATAGCTGTGGTTTTTATTTACTTTGAATATATTCTTTTTGTCGTATTTCCAAAAGGTTATTTTGCTTATGTTAAATTCTGCGTTACATAATTGACATTTCAAGCACAACGTTGAAATAAAGCCTTTTCTGGTCTCACCGATGCATTTCAAATTTGAAAATCTACATCCAAATGATTCATGACTGTGATCAGCAACTGCTTGCAGAGAAAGTAAAAAGTATCGTATAGAGACAATTCTACGCCCCTCTAAATCAAAATCCTCTTTTTTTACTACACATTTTTTCACGTTCTACATTGAAGTCGAAGCAATCACCCTTTTCACGTGCGGACGGCTGGCGCTAAAATAAAAAAATAATAGCTTTGTTTTACATTTCTAAGATTCAAATTTTATGAGCCCATATTTATCATATTTGAATTACCTTGGTTTTAACTTTTCTAAAAGGCAGTCCACTGGTGGCTTTTCGTTTTCGCCCCTTTTTATTAACCTAAAATAAATATTATTATTAGCTTTTTTAAATAGCAAAACTGCAAGTATTTATTTGTGTACATAAATAAAAAGGAATAACAATTTTAAAACAAATGCGATATTGTAGATATTAAACATGTACAACATGTGTTTTATGCACGATAACTGGCTAATTAACTATATATATAAAAAAAAACTCAAAAATAACTGTATATGTACCGAGTTTTCATTTTGGGGTTTATTTGCTACATCTTGTCCTTTTGTTTCCTTAGAATCATTAGTTGGTATTAAAATACTTTTAGAAGAATATTGAGGTTTGTTCTCTTGATCACTAAAACGAAAAGTATTATATGTATTGTATCTGTAAGTATTAAAGTTAATATGGCATTAAAGTATATATTTTAATCAAAAAAGGTAACAACAGAAAATGTTACCATGGCATAATATCATTTACTGGAGGGCAAGTGTTGCTAAAA